ATGTGGAATTGATATACAATGCCTGGTACTCCCAGCATGAATGGTGTATCTGAGAGACGTAATAGGACTCTTATGCTCTTATGGATAATGGTAAAGGAGTATGATTAGTCCATTCTACTTTACGAGAGTCTCTGTGGGGTGAAGCGTTAAGACGAAGCTTATTTCTCAATAAGATATCCATCTAAAGCAGTTGCTAAAAACACCTTAATGATCTTTGGACTGTGACGATAAGCCTAGTCTAAAGCATTATTCATGGTTTGGGGATGTCCAGCTAAAGCAAGGCTTACAAGCCGAATGAACAAACTGGACTCCAAAATATCAGCAGCTACTCTTGTTGGATTTATTCTGAGCGGTCTAGGGGTTACAAATTTTATAATCCTACTTCTGAACCATTTTTTGAAACGAGAAATATGCAACATTTTTTTGAGGATGTGATTTTGGAGGGAGAAATTAAAGAAGAAACAATTGTTCTTTGAAGAAGGAACAGTAAGGATGATTCGGTTCTCATTCCTTTTGTTGGTTTTTTGATTACAGACTCCAGTTGCTCCTGTCGCTATTCAAGATCCAATTCAAGACAATGCTATTCTTCCTCAAGAACAAATTCAACAACCTCAAGAATTAGAACCTGTTCAAATGCCTTTGAGGAGATCTACTAAGGAGAGAAGAAGTGCTATTCCAGATGATTATATAGTGTTTCTTCAGGAACATGAGGATACTGTAGACATGATAGATGATGATCCAGTTAGTTTTTATCATGCTATGCAGAGTTCTGACTCTCATAAGTGAATTGAGGCAATGAACGAAGAGTATAAGTCTATGCAAGACAATCAAGTTTGGGATCTTGTTCAATTACCTGAAGGAAAGAAACCCATTGGTTGCAAATTGCAAATGGATATTTAAAACCAAAAGGGATTCTCAAGGTAATGTGGAAAGATATAACGCACGTCTTGTAGCAAAAGGCTTTACTCAAAAGGAAGGGACTGACTATAAAGAAACCTTCTCTCCAGTTTCTTCGAAGGATTCTTTTAGGACAATCATGGACTTAGTTGCAAATCTTGATCTTGAGCTTCATCAAATAGATGTTAAGACTACGTTTCTCAATGGCAACATTGATGAAACAATATATATGGTGCAACCAGAAAATTTTGTAATTGGAGATCCAAAACATCTGGTATGCAAATTAAAGAAATCCATTTATGGACTCAAGCGAGCTTCTCGTCAATGGTACTTTAAGTTCAACTAAGTAATTGTCTCGTTTGGCTTTGAGGCAAATCTTTTGAGGCAAATACTGTTGAAAATTGTGTGTACAATAAGTTCAGTGGGAGTAAGGTTTTTATCTTTTTGGTCTTAATATGTGGATGACATACTTCTTGCTACTAATTGTTAAAAAGTCTTGGCTACACCATGAACAAAGTTTTTCTTGTCAAAAGCTTTTGAGATGAAAGATTTAGGTGAATGCTTCTTTTTTTTAGGGATTACAGATACATCGAGACCCGTTCTCAGAGGTATTCCTGGATTATCACAAACAAGAGCTATATTTGATAAAGTGCTGAAGAGATTTAGTATGCAGACCATTGGATACCCCTATTGCAAAAGGTGATAAATTTAGTAATCAACAATGTCCAAAGAGTGAACTTGAAATTTAGGAAATGCAAAAGGTTCCTTATACGTCAGCTATAGGAAGTCTTATGTATGTTAAAGTTTGTACTCGTCCAGACATTTCTTTTATAGTTGGCATGTTAGGTAGATATCTCAGCAATCTAGGAATGGATCATTGGAAAGCAGCCAAAAGAGCCATGAGATATCTTCAGAGGACTAAGGGACATATGCTCACATATAGGAGATCAGATCAGCTTGAGATCATTGGGTATACTGATTCTGATTTCGCTGGATCTGATTTCGTTGGATGCCAAGACAGAAGAAAATCCACATCTGGCTATGTTTTTCTATTGGCTGGTGGTGCTATTTCTTGGAAGAGTGTGAAACAAACTCTAGTGGCAACCTCCACCATGATTTGTAGCATCTTATAAGGCATCCAATCAAGCTATTTGGCTGAGAAACCTTGTCAATGGGCTGCGTGTAGTAGGTGGAATAGAAAGACCACTGAAGTTGTATTGTGACAGCAGGTCAGCCGTTTTATTCTCCAACAACAACAGGAGCTCTTCTCCTCTGCTCGATAAAAACATTGGGGACATTGAGATTAAGTTCTTGGCTGTGAAGGAGAGGGTACAGAGTGGACAGATATCCTTAGAGCATATTGGAACAAACTCTATGATTGCGGATCCGCTTGCAAAGGCAGTGATACCGAAAGTTTTCCATGAGCACACCGCTCATATGGGTATCGTTTTGTTTGAGACTGTCTAGTTTTAGTGGGAGTCTGCTCTTTATGTATACATTATGGTTTTGATATGTTTTTGAATGCTCTATTTTGTTTTGGATATGTTTTATTATGTTGATGAAATTTTATTGAGTACTCATTTTGGTTGATGGTTACACTCTGTATTATTATTGTTTTGCTTGATCTCACTTTTGTTGGTGACCAGTTGGAAACAAACATGATGATCACATTACATTTAGTTTTCATCCTACACTTCTATAATGAATCTGTGTCATTTAGGGGTATTGGTAAGGTAGTTGATGATGAACTTAGTCATAAGATCTATGGCGAATGTTTCTTCAGCTCTTTATCAATATAATTAATGGACGAGATTGTTTTTGGATACCTCGTATGACTGCGTTTGTTGAGCTCATTTTGGTGTATGTATTTTATTTAACATACCAAGTGGGAGATTGTTGGATTTAATTTTCTATTGTGGGCTTAATATGTAAAATTAAATATGTACAGCAGTCTAATTATAAAGTCAATTTTAAATGCGGTCTTGATTGTGAATAATTGACTATTGAGGTATCAACTAATTATAGATATTAAGTGTAGAGACCATTATATAATTCCTATTTCTTTAAAGGACCGAAATAGGAATTGTACTAACCCTACAGTATATAAAGTCGTGGTCCCCAGGTCCCCAGAGAAGTTGAATACGATTCAGTTTTACGTTCCTTTCGTACTGCTTCCGCAAAATCGATTCTTCAATTCTCTGGAAGGCTACAAACCTAATTCTACGCATGAAGATCGACGAACAACGATGTCAGGTACGCAGCCTTTTCTTATTCAATCTATTTTGTTGAATCTAATAGTTTGCACGATCTAGGTTATTATTGAATTATTTGAGATTAATTTATAACACTTTATAGTCTTTTGTTTTGGGAGTTTCACAACCTTTGCCCCACCGTGCTTTGTATTGGATTGGAACGTCTACACTATTAGAAATAGTGTCGTGGTTGCCATTTGCCTCATCCCTGCATTCCACAAAAAAACCTTATGTAAATCAACATCCGCTATCCTGCCATGTTGGTAGCTATACAAACCTAAACAATTATAATAATCTTTAATTCATACTTATCTGATGTCAATTAATTTTTTTCACTCATTACCTACCTAAACACTATTTTGCATTGCATTCTTCCATATAATTTTTACACCCATAACAAACCATTTCATATTTTTCATATCTCAAAGAAAGCCTAAGTTGAGGACTATGAGAATTATAAACCCTAGGGTACAGTAACACATACTAGGATTGTAATCAATTTCATTGAGCACGAACATAAAATTAGAGATTGTTTACATATTGTTAAAAGATTGCTGCTTATTTATAACTCTCTGTTTCCCAAAACTTTCTCTCTTCTTTCCTTCACCGACTACTCTCTATGGCTGCTCGCAATTTTCTTCCTCTCTTCCATGTTTATAGATCAAAAGATTATCCTTAAAATGTCTCTTTTATGGATAGAAGGAGCTTGCTTTATTAGGTGATAGTCTACAACTATTTTTTTGACTTACAAAATGAATTCCATTAAATAAAATTTATTGAGTTTGAAGTTGCTTTCTTATCATAAAGAACGTATTCAATTTTTACAATCTTTTTTTTTCAGAAATTAAAGATGGAGTAAAACTTTATAGCCCGTCAAATAAAATTTTGGATTTATAATTCAAATATAATAATGAGTAATATTTTGTGAAAGTATGATTTGTAGTATTATTCTTGAGAATCAATGCGTGAATTTTAAAAAGAAGACTATTATTCTTGATGAACTACAGCCAAACCCCACAATCTCCGAGTGCGCATCTATATGGACTAGGCCACTGTGGTTGTTCCGTTCAACAGAATTTTTAAATTAGAGTTCTGCCCATTTGCTTGCTCTGTTTCTGCTTCAGGAAAGCAGTAAACTTTATCAGCAGAGTAAACTTTATTTGCTTTTATTATTTTTCTATCAATGTCGACATTTAAAAGCAATCAATTCATAAAAGGAAACATTTTTAAATATCTCCTCAAAAAGGGAAAAAGAAAATAAATTTAGTGAATTAAGAAGGAAACAGAAGATTTGTGAATCTAGATTTTCCCAAGAAAGAAAGCATGAGTATTTTGAAGTTGTTTTTATTATTACACACAATAATTGAAATTAATATTAATAGAATCATTATTTTTCAGTTCTTACAAGCTATCGCTAGTCTGCTGGAGCTACACTGTTGATTTACACTTGGCGAATATCTATATGCATGGTATGTCACTGTTGAAGATTTTAATGGGTTTCTTTAATCTGATACTGACACATACTCTCTGCTTTAAAAAAAAAAAATAATAATTACCAGAAATAAAACCATTTTTCCGATGGGTAGGGGACCCTCCATTCTGGGGATCCTTTTCTGGCCATTAAAAAAATTCCATGTGGGACAAAGAAGACGAGTCCCTCACTCAAAAGCATCAAGCATGCAACTCACTGCATACTTCAAGCATCAGCTTTCGATGAGAACGAGAGACGCTTCATTGTACTTTATGAGTTCGATCAGTTAGGTCAGTGTATTGTTTTGTATGTATATGTATTTGAAGTTTCAAAATGCTTTGCAAGTTTTTCATTTTTTTTTCATAAACCAGATTTTGTTTCTTTGTTTCTTTGTTTTTTTACCCTGTTTGGTGGGTATTGTTGTTAGGCAGAAATTTCGTTGGCATTTTCATGAAAATTAGAGATGTATCAGTTTCCTTATAGTCTGTCTTTGAATTAGAGGAGGTGCTTTCGTGTTAGTCTTTTGTCCAGCTTTAATTTGTCTCTGAAATTTCAAAGCCTATAATTTCCAACCTAATTTCATAAATAGTCTTCCAAGTGAAACTGCTTGGGCTTTTCTATTGAAAGTGAGTAGGTACCACTTTTTCTATGACCTTTGAGTTAGATTTTATTTGATAACTTTATGTGATTGGTTTTTGAATGCTGGGTCTCCATACTTTACTCAATACTTTCTTTTGCATAAACATATATATATATGACTCTGCTTTAGTTTGTTGCTGAATGATTGGGGCAAATATATATTTTTTTAGTTCATTCTAAGTAATTGACGTAAAATTGCAGAATCTGCAGGTAATGGAGTTTAGTATTGCTATTTCCACTATGTGGCCACTGGTTTAGTTAGCTTGATATAAAGTACTACTTGGTGATTTGGCTATCATAATGATGGCTGAGGAAGACGATGCATCATATCCATCCATGGAGAAGAAGAGAATACCTCTATGCATTTTCTTCAAGGATTTTAGGTATTGTTTCGAGAAATTGCATTTTTATAAGGTTGATCAAATTAAAGCTTATTTTGGCCATTTTCATTTAGAGATTGTCAATTCAACTTTGTTTATCTTCTTAATAAGCATTTTGTTGTTAACATTTGGTTCTTGGATGGTATGAACAGACATGTACTTAAAATGGATGAACTTGGTTTAGAAATAGCAAGCATAGCATTGCCTGCAGCACTGGCTTTGACAGCTGACCCCATTGCCTCTCTAGTAGACACAGCATTTATTGGACAAATAGGTATTTTTCTTTGTATCTCTTATTATTAACTGGCACCTGCCATGCCTCCCTCTGTCTCTCCTTTTTCTTTTGGTTTTTGGGATTGTGGTTATTCTTAATCAACCATATTTTATTCACTTAATAAATGCATTCTCATAGATCAATAGTTATTGTTACATCTTCATGCCTGTTGAACCTTTATGTCAATCTGCTTGCATAATTTGAACTAGGTGACTAAATCGAGTAGTTCTTGTTCATGTAACAAAGAGAAGCTACAAATTATGATACAATTGCAGGTCCAGTTTGAGAGTGCTAGTATGCTACTCTGACTGGCCCATTCTTTTTGTTGCCTTTGCTAAGTTCTACCAAATATTGTTATTTCTTTGTGTTGGAGAAGGTTTATATGTTGGTCCGCTTTTTTAAGCTTTTGTTACTTTTTAAATGGTCAAAAACACTTGCCTTGTCATTCATTCAGGTCCTGTAGAGCTAGCTGCTGTGGGAGTTTCTATTGCCCTATTCAATCAAGTATCAAGAATCGCAATATTCCCACTTGTCAGTGTAACAACCTCTTTTGTTGCTGAAGAAGATACTATTGGAAGTGTGAACCCTGAGGTGCAAGATAGTGAATCCTTGGAAACAGGTTCAGTTGTTAACAGTGAAAGTAAAGAGTTGATACCACAAAATGGTACATACAGTGTCCTTCCGTTTTCGGTTTCCTTTTTTTTTTTTTTTTTTTTTTTTTTTTCTTTTTTTTTTTTTTTTTTTTTTTTGTGCTATATTCTTTTTTTTTTCCCTGGTTCATTTAAAATTTTTCTTTTATTCTTTGTCAAGTTTTAATGACTTTTTTTTTTTTTATCTCATCATGTATTCAGTAATCTGGTGAAGGTGCCATACAAATCAAATCAGCTTATTTTTTTTTTTTTTTTTTTTTTTTTGTGCTATATTCTTTTTTTTTTCCCTGGTTCATAAAATTTCTTTATTCTTTGTCAAGTTAATGACTTTTTTTTTTTTTATCTCATCATGTATCAGTATCTGGTGAAGGTGCATACAAATCAAAATCAGCTATGAGCAGCTTCGATATTGCTAAAATGGAGAGTGGAAGAAGGCATATTCCCTCAGCCTCATCTGCATTAGTTATTGGTGCTATCCTTGGCTTCATCCAAGCTATATTCCTTATATCAGGAGCGAAACCATTGTTGAACTTTATGGGAGTGGGTTCTGTAAGTGCTTGTGTTTGAAAGTTATTTGAGGTTTCAACTTGAACCACTAGCTGTTTTGAATAATAACAATTAACCACTTTTATAAACAATAACCTTGGATATTTTTGTTTCTACAGGATTCACCTATGTTAAGACCTGCTCAACAATATTTGACATTAAGGTCACTTGGTGCTCCTGCAGTTCTCCTTTCCTTAGCCATGCAAGGGGTCTTCCGTGGATTTAAAGATACGAAGACTCCTTTATATGCCACTGGTATGCTGTACAGACTTTGAAGACTTCTAGTTGTATGATACATTCATCAAGATAGAAATTGAAATGTTTGCCCAAAGCAAAGAATTCCTTTAGCAGACCAATTCCCAAGAGTTTAATGCCTATTGCTCTTTCAGCAGTTATTATTTTTGATTGTTCTAATGAATGTCCTTATCTTATCTAATCTATAGTAACTGGAGATGTAACAAACATAATTTTAGACCCCGTATTTATGTTTGTTTTCCGTCTGGGAGTCAGTGGTGCAGCCATTGCCCATGTTATATCCCAGTAAGTTACTTTTCACTTAGAGCTGTGTTACATTTCGTCTTATGATTTGGAGTATAAAAATTTTTTTCTTCATTCATCTATCTTATTCTTTCTATATGGTGGTGATTCCAGATACCTGATTTCAGTTATTCTCTTATGGAGATTAATGGAAAAAGTTGATCTCTTACCTCCAAGTGTCAAACATCTGCAATTTGGTAAATTTCTTAAAAATGGTAAGGTTCCCCTCTCCATCCTCCTAAACAGTTAAGGTAATTTATAAAGTTGTTGCACCAATGACTTGATCTTGTAGATAGTTGGTGAATGCTTTTTGACTTTGTCAATTTTCAATCTGAGAATTTCTGAAATATACCCAATCATTTGGCAACTGAAAAGACAAGTTTTTGTCCACTAAAACATTTCAGATTTACTGGTAGATAACCGTTGGCATAGTTCAATTAAAATCTTACGGTTCTCAATTTTCCTTTTTGATGCTTGACCTCAGGTTTTCTGCTACTGATGAGGGTAATAGCTGTAACGTTCTGTGTTACTCTTTCTGCATCATTAGCTGCACGACAAGGATCAACAGCCATGGCTGCATTTCAGGTCTGCTTGCAGGTTTGGCTGGCCACATCTCTTCTTGCTGATGGATTGGCTGTTGCTGGCCAGGTTAGTTGGTGTCCTTTCATACAGAAACCAAAACTACTGCAATAATTAATTGCATCCTCACCTACTTTATCAGAAAACTGAATTGGATTTTGTGTGCTAAATTTACTTGTACTCAGGCAATACTTGCAACCGCCTTTGCCAAAAGTGACTATGAGAAGGCAACAGCCACTGCATCTCGAGTATTGCAGGTGCATATAAAGTATAAACATGCCAGAAAAATGAAATGACTTCTGAAGTAAAACGATTTCTCCTAAAATTTGGTAATGACTGTAAACTGCAGTTGGGGTTGCTTCTGGGATTGATGCTGGCTATTATACTCGGAGTAGGACTGAGTTTTGGATCAAGATTATTCACAAGTGATGTCAATGTTCTACGCATGATTAGCATAGGCATTCCGGTATCTCAAATATCTAAAACACAAAAAAAACTTTCCTCCGAATTTGCTCAGTCCCAGATGACACTGTAACTAACATTTATTTTGCTTTCATCAGTTTGTTGCAGGTACTCAACCCATCAATGCCTTGGCTTTTGTATTTGATGGTGTCAACTTTGGAGCTTCTGATTTCGCATACTCTGCCTACTCCATGGCAAGTGACTTACTCTTTAATATTGAAAAATAAGATAATGATCAACAAAAGTAAGCTTGACATTCTTCTTCTCCAGGTTCTGGTGGCCATTATTAGCATCCTGTCTTTGTTATTTCTATCCTCCACTTATAAGTTCATTGGAATATGGGTTGCTCTGACTATATATATGAGTCTCCGGACATCTGCTGGATTTTGGAGGTAACCAAAACTTTCAGTACATTTATTAACTCTTGAAGGCCAAAGATAAAAGATCAGAGCAACCAAAATTTCATTCTCAAGTCTGGTTCTATTTTTGCAGGATAGGGACTAGAACAGGGCCCTGGAACTTTCTCAGGAGCTTGTAGCCGCTTGTTTTCTGAATCTGCAACTCGCTTCCATTACACTTTTGGTTGTATAAACATTTTTTTGCTCCTTTCTTCTGCTGTGTTTTTTAATCTCCACTGTTATGAAATATTATCCCTTCCGATATGGGTTAAAGGAAAAATTGATGATTGCTGCCAAAATTTCATGTAATGAAATGGAAATAATAAATATAGAAAAAGAGGTTAAAAAACTTTCTGATATTATAGCAATAAATTTCCTGATCTGTAACTATAATGAGGTATGGGGTTGGCCTCGGACCCAGCCCCTGCTCCGACCCCTAGCTGCAAATTTTTTTCTTTTATCACTTAGTCCTTTCTGAATTTGATTTCCGATGCTTTAAACTCTCTCCCTTGAAAGATAAAAAGCTACTAACGGTTAGTAACTGTTGTTCCCGCTAAAAGGCCAAAAACGTTTAACGGTCAGTAACTGTCGTTTGCTTTATTTCTTCTCGTGGCCATTTAAAGTTTAAACCACCATGCCCCTTTACTTTCCACTTTTCCCAGCAAATGTGAACCGCCATTAGATGATGGATATTCGTCTCTCTCTAGAATCGCTTAAACTCCCTCCTTTCCGTGAACGAACGCAAAACAGAACAGGCTCCAAAGACTGGAATGCAATAATCAAATACCACGCCAAACTCAGAAATGACCATGCGATTCTCTCTACTTACACGCAAATGGAATCTCTTGGGCTACAACCTGATAATATGACTCTCCCTCTCATTTTCAAAGCTTGCACGAGGCTGAATGCGTTTGAGAGAGGCAAGAAGATACATTCTAGTATTGAGAGTACTGATTTGATAAAAAATGTTAGAGTTGGGACCTCCGTTGTTGATTTCTATTGCAAATGCGGGCATATTCTTGAAGCTCACAAAGTGTTTGATAAAATGAGTGAAAGAGATTTGGTTTTGTGGAATGCTATAATATCTGGGTATGTGGGCTGTGCTTATTATGTGGAGGCAATTGGGCAGTTTAGAAGGATGCAAAGGGAGGGTTTGGAACCAAATTCTCGAACTTTGGTGGCATTGCTACTGGCATGTGAGGGAATTCTGGAATTGAGATTAGGACAGGAATTACATGGTTATTGCTTGAGGAGTGGATACTTTGATTTGTATCCCCATTTGGGTACTGCTTTAATTGGGTTCTATTTGAATTTTGATGTGAAAATTTCGAGCCTTGTGTTTGATTTGATGATTGTGAAGAGTGCTGTGAGTTGGAATGCAATGATTACAGGGTATTTTGGTTCTGGGGATTTTGTCAAAGCCTTAGAGCTCTTTGTTCAGATGTTGAAGGATGGGGTCAAGTTTGATATGGTTACAATATTGGTCTCTATTCAGGCAAGTGCAGAAATTGGATCTTCTGAATTGGGAATGCAAATCCATCAGTTGGCTATTAAATTAAGTTATGGGAATGAGTTGTTCATAGTAAATGCATTGCTTAATATGTATGCTGAAATTGGAAATTTAGAATTAGCTTGTCGTTTATTTGATACGGTTACCGTTCATGATGTTCCCTTGTGGAATTCCATGATAGCTGCATATATTGATCATGGCTGTTACGAGGAAGCTACTAGTTTATTTACTACAATGCGAACAGAGACAAGAGAAGATGAAAGAACTATTGCTGTTATACTGTCTTTAAGTGCAGAATTAACTGATGGTTTAAAAATAGGTAGAAGCTTGCATGCTCTTGCCTACAAGCGAGAAATGAAGATGAATGTTTCCCTTGGGAATGCATTATTAAGTATGTATGCAGATCTAAATTGTGTTGAAGATGCTTTGAAGGTTTTTAATGAGATGAGCAATATAGATGTTGTCCCCTATAACACTTTGATCTTGGCTTTTTCTGTCAGCAATTTAAGCGGTAAGGCATGGGAACTCTTTGGAATGATGCGAGAATCAGAAGTCAGTCCTAACTCTCATACAATGATATCTCTACTTGCTTCTTGTGGAGATGAAAAATGTCTAAACATCGGAAGATCTGTCCATGGTTTCATTATAAAAAACAGCATTGAAATAAATCTTTCATTGAACACTTCACTCACTGAAATGTATATCAATTGTGGTGACGGAGCAGCAGCTAGGTATCTATTTGATACCTGTCCTAGTCGAGATTTGATTTCATGGAATGCTATTATTGCTGCTCTTCTGAAAAACGACAAAACTGGTGAAGCTATATTATTTTTCAACCGTATGATTTCAGAGGTGGAACCTAACTCTGTTACTATCATAAACATCCTATCAACATGCACAAATCTCGCCAATCTTCCTCAAGGCCAATGTTTGCATGCTTATGCAACACGGAGGTTTTCCGCTTTTGGTTTAAATTTATCTCTTGGTAATGCTTTTATAACAATGTACGCAAGATGTGGTAGTATACGAAATGCTGAAAAGATCTTTGAAACCTTAGCAAAGAGAAATGTTATCTCTTGGAATGGAATGATTACTGGCTATGGGACACATGGTTGTGCTTATGATGCTATCCTCACCTTCAAGAATATGTTAAAAGATGGTTTCCAACCAAATGGGGTAACTTTCTTATCTGCTCTATCTGCTTGCCGCCATGCTGGTATGATAAAGGAAGGTCTGCAGCTTTTTAATTCAATGGTTCAGGATTTCAAAATGACTCCTACTCTTTCTCATTATGGCTGTGTGGTTGATCTACTTGGTCGAGGAGGAAGCTTAAATGAGGCCAGAGAATTTATCAATTCAATGCCAATTGAACCGGATGCATCAGTTTGGAGAGCTCTGCTTAGTGCTTGTCGAGTTCATTCCAACACAGAAATAGCAGCTGAAATTTTCGAAAATCTTGTTGAATTAGAGCCAACTAATGCTGGAAATTACATTTTGCTGTCAAATATATATGCTGCAGCAGGTTTTTGGTCAGAAGTTAGACAAATAAGAAAGTGGCTAAAAGATAAGGGTTTGAAAAAGCCTCCAGGAACTAGTTGGCTCATTGTCCGAGGTCAGGTTCATTCTTTTACTGCTGGAGATACATCACACCTTCAATCTGACAGAATTTATGGAAATTTGAATTCTTTGTTGCTTTTAACTAGAGAATATGGATATGTTACTGATTTCCATTTGGCAATGGATGATGAACAGGATTAAAGTTAAATTGACAGGATTAATTTTCTTCTATAATGAGAAATTGAGTTTCTTGTTTGAATAGAATGATGGTGCGGAATCATTTACCTGTACTCTGGATGGGAGGGGAAGTTTTCCCCGTCGTCTAACTTTTCCCTGTTGTTCAACAATGGAAGGAAACTTTTCCCTTGGGAAAATAACAGGCCTACCGCGCACTGCGCACGTGGGATCTCCGTCATCCTTTTCCTCGTGTAATAAAATAAATATTAAATGGTATTAAAAATTAAAAATTATATTATTAATACAAATGATGGAAGCGAGTAAATTCACATTTGAGATGAAATTTCTCTCTTCTCTAAAACAATAGAATTCATAATTCCATGATTGTATTCTTTTTTATTTTTCTTTTTAAATGAAGGAATTCAGTAAATTCTTGAAATATATAAATTTCGTGGTTCAAATTCCAATAATTCAGTTAAAAATAAATCAGCTAAATCGGCTATTGATTGTGTTTTCTTGATCAAATTTAGAAGCTCACGCACTTTATACTATTTTGCTTAAGGAAATGACAATCATAAATTTCTGAATTCGTTGAAATTTATAATCCCTTTGGATACAAAGTAAGCCACTGATTGGTCATCTAGTTCTTTTCAAATATTTATTCATTGCTTTTGCTTTACCCAAACCATTAACATGTTAGTTGTATTTGTACAACCATTGCTTCTTCTTCTTCTTTCTTTTCTTTCTTCCTGTAGACAACAATATCTACAAACTACAGCCATGCCATAAAAAATCCCAACCCTAGCCCCTAAAAAATCAACAGCCTTCGGTAACCCATCAACTATCAATATCGATTCTTGGAAAAACGATCCAAGTTGCTCGTTGGCGTTTGGCGGTTACCCCACATGTAACATCAAACTTTAAGAATTCCCCCTTTCAATAAAGACCCAACAACCACTAACCAGATAAATTAGTGGAGTGGCATCATTTTGGGTGCGTGATACCTTCAACCTCCATAATCTGAACTGAAAAGCATCTCATTTTATGGGCATAAGAAATTCCTTGTCCCCACAACTGATCTTCTTCTAATAAAGATCGAAAGAATCCATTACAAAAAACTGTACTTTTCTCCTCCCAGACCCACCACCCTCACTTGCTGGGATCCACCTCATAATTACAGGTCGCCGTAAAATAGTTGCAACAGAAACCATTAAGAGCAGAAGAAACCAGAAGGATCCGTGAACAAAAGATGAGTAATGAAAAAAATAATATCGACCGACTATAATTTATTTCTTTATTTATGATTAATAAGAATTCTTACATTTGATTAATCCCGTTACAAATTTATGTCAAATAACGTCAACGGGAAAAAGAATTTAGAATACTCGATACAGTTTCGATTACCTAAAGAATGGTTACAATATTTTCATATATGAAGCAATGAGCTTATCAAGCTGCAAACCCTCTAGCAACGCCTGCAAAGCCGAGGGGGATTTGAGTTAGAAACCTCTTCAGGACCTGAGACTGAAATAGTAGTTGTCTTATGTCTCGGATGGATCCTTCAACACTGATTGAATCCAAGAGACATCAGGCTCTTCCCCATATTGCCCATTTGAAGACTTCTGACGCCTGCCAACTTCATCTGCTTCGACAGACCAATCTACATTTCCATTCACAGGATCCTGCTTTGACCATGAATTCAGACCATTGGATCCAAGATTATATGTGAGGTTAAAACCAAGTTCCCCTGAGTTTAGGCTGCCTAGTTCTGATTCCTGCTTGTCATGGTAAAGAAGAGCAGATAAATGGGAGCTCGATGTCGATATAGACTCATTTATGTGAGGTGACATCATCCTCGGTGAAGATAGTTGAGATTTATTAATAACTGCAGATTTGTATGAAGGGGAGAAAGCATGTGCAACACTCAATCGATATGTGCTTTGGGGAGATGAAACCTCAGCAGACCAGAGCCTGTCTGGATTTGACGGGTTCAATTGTTTGAAGCAAGCAGAAAGATTTGTAGAAGAATTACGATGGGGCTGAGAAATATAGGACAGATCATTCAAGAGATGCTGTTGCAAAAGTTCAAAATATTGGATCGTATTAAGTTCCTCAGATGGAATCTCTCTTGCATTGGAAGTAGTTCTCAGACGGCTGGCTTGAAGATTGTTTCCCGAGATTTCCAAATTTGAGATATTTTGCTGAGGCCAGGCCATTAACAAGTTTAGATCATTGCCAGAAGGAGACATAGGTGGAGTAAATGGAAAAGGTGGCACTGCAGAAACTGCTGGGAGAGCACCAGAAAATAGGTTAAAGGCAGCAGTGAAATCCCTAGCAGGTGCTTGAAGAGATGGCACAGCAGCACCGGTGGACGCAGATACCGGCCTTAGTTGCTCATTTGTATGAGCGAAAAAGCACACCCTGCGTGAGCAACTACTGCCATCCCTGCAAAGGCGAGTCCTATATTGAGCTGGGTGTAGCCAGCTCTCAAAAATCCCATGAGAGTATTCACAAAAATCTCCATGCCTACACACCCCCTTCCTATGATCTGGACATGGCACACAACTGTAATGGAACCTCCTCAGGTCTCTTCTGCGTGCATTCTCACCTGGATGAGCAAAAGGACACTCAGTCCAGTCATGGAAATATGCCCGCGAACAAGGCTGGATCTTGAACGAGAACATCCAAAACTTATCATTAGCATAAGCGTCATCCTTGGTATCAGGAAAAGATGGATCAACGCAGTCTTTTTTACCTTCTTCTGAAGTCCACGAAATGGGTGGGGAACTGGAATTCAAACTACTAGTTGAAAACTGCAGCTCCCATTGACATAAGGAACCAATATTCTTCAAGAGCTTTTCAAGGGCAATCTTCAAATTGGGAAAATTTGGATAAGCAACAATGATATCAACTGGGCGATGTCCATTGGCATCAGTGCTACTAGGATCAGCTCCGGCAAGTAAAAGCAATTTGATGACGTCGATAGCATTAGAAGATCCACCAGAAGCAGCACAGTGAAGGGCACTGCTATTGTCTGAGCCACAAGAGAAATTTACATCCACCTCAGGTAGAGAAAGAATGAGCTTCATAACATCAGCGCTGCCATATTTAGCAGCAACCATTAGCGGGGTTCTATGCTCAAGGACCCCCTTTTTTGACACCCTATGATGAACATACCAGAGCCCAACCTGCCTAACCTCAGATTCATCAAATACAGACCGCTTGAAACCCTCAACATCATTATCTGCTGCGCACTCTAGCAACATAGAAAAAGAATATTCTGTTTCCACTGTACCAACTGAAGTATTCATATCTATGTTAAATGAATTGGTTTCAGGATAGAAGATGGAGCTGGTTTCTTCCACTTCTTCTGATTTAGGCCTATAAACATGCTTCATTCAACTAAAACCAGTTTGAAAAGAATCAAGTACAAATCTACAAGAGAAAAGCACATATGACATATAACGAGTATCAAGCATCAAATACAAATCAGAATAGTAAAGATGCTTTTTGCACTAAGCCTCCACCAACTCAAAAATAGCAGTAAACAAAAAGAACCGGATTCCAATATTGCAACGCATAAAAGAAATTTTGAAAAAAAAAAGTGAATATCATCTCAAAGGGATTTAGAATAACAAATGGTAGCCTGGTTGGGAAGAAGGCTTTGAGGAGACTCGCAAGAGATTTGAAAAGAGAGAAGTCAATGAGGATTGGGGGATTTTTGGAGGGTGTATTTATAGGGAAAGAAAGCTACGAGTTTTACACAAAGGGAAAGAAAATCCCTGCGAAGATATGAAGTTTTAATATGGAAATGAACAGAATGCGAACGTGATAACATTATTTTCGAAACCGGAAATTATTGGATGCTTAAGCACTCTTCGAGTTGTCTCCGCTTTCCTTTCCTCTCCCACATTTTCTCAGCAACCAAACAAAGAACAAAATAGTTTTTTTAATATGCAAAGAATAAAAGATCGCTAAAGTTGAGCGAAATGCAATTAACATGAACTCCGCTTCGAACCCAACAAACAAACAAAAAAATCCCGAAGTCAAGTGAATTGATTATTAAATTAATCAAGAATTAAAACAAGAATGATAAAATTAAAGGGCACGCAGTAATCCAAGACGAAACTTCGAAAAAACTTTCAAAAATTAAAACTTAAAAAAAAAAAAAAAGTAAGAAATTTTAACTCCTGCCGGGTTTAAAGATAACCTTACTGTTGATAGTACGCATTCAAGAAACAATACTTAAGTATTAACCAGAAAGAAGATTGCGAGTGTGGAAGAAAGAGCTTCATAGACATGAGCCCATGACTTTCAGTTTCTCTCCATACACAGAGAAAGCGAGGGAGATAGTAGCAATTTTTGGATATTAATAAATGTGAAAAATAAATGAGCAACATTCTCGGAGAACTATTGGAGTTTGAGTTCAGGGTAGGGGGTGACCAGATTAGGAGGTGAAAGGGAGAGTAAAGTAGGTGGAAGGGAAGCGTGAGGTTTGGTGAGCGATTACCGGAGAAAGCGGTTGACAGCGACGCAAATGTTGCGGTGACGTCGTTTTGGGCTCGGCACTTGAAATTAGCGGAACCTTTGGTGGGTCAAATCGAGGTCTAGAAGACAAGGCCCCTGCTCTAGGGATTGCAGAAATCTTGCCCAAACTTAAATCATGAATTATTTTAAATCATTTTATAAAGAATGATTTAGTCAAATAATCAAAAATAATTTAGTGAATTATTTTTATTTTTTTATAAATAAATTATTTTAATTATTTAGTAATGTTTTTACATTGTAAAAACTGTCTAAATTAATGAATATTAATAAACTAATAATTTAATAGTCTTGTACCTCAAATTTATATATAAATAAATAAGAATCAACAGTTCCAATAATATACTGAATTTTTATTTTTATAATAAAATATTTAACTATGAATGCAATGATTTTTCTATAAAAAGTAAACTTAAAAAGAGACGAAATTAATTAAATTTTATTTTATATATTTACAAATTATTTTAATTATAATTTAAATTTTTAGTTATTTTTAAATATCATTTAACAAGATTTTATTTAAAGATAAGGATTATAAATTGGAATCCAACTAAAACTTAATAAATAAATATTTAATAATATTTTAGAGTAATAATAAATAAAATAGGAAAGGCCAAGGAGTTCTGATTTAATTGATTTTTTACTAATATAAAAATATATTTCCATCATTAATTTTTATAAATTTGGGGCAAGAGTTGTACAGTTATTCATGTCATCTCTCAATAAATGATAATAATAATTTCCTTTCGAAGAAAAAATGATAATAATAATAATTAAAAAAAAAAAAAAGAAAAACATAACTGGGGAGGGTACATCATATGAGGTCAGAATCATTTGGTGTAGAAACCAGAAGATGTTCCACTTAACATTTGCCAATAAGAAAGGAAAGAGAGAGGACGGAACAAAGAAAAACTGCGTAAGAAAAGGGACGAAGACAAACAGTGTTGAAAGGTCAAATCTTTACCAATAACAATTCAAAATTAAATATGATCCTATAAATTTCCAAATCTTCTCTTCAAATGATTTTCTTTCTCTCGCAATAAAAGAATCCAAATTATATTCAATTGCAAATTATCCGTTTCTCGCTCCATTTTCTCCTCTACCTGTAGGATCTGTTTTTGTCTTCTATGCCTCTCCGCCACCATGCCAACCGCCTCTGCCGCACAGACTCACCGTCCTATGGACCTCTTCTCTCGCCTCTCCTCTCCTGACCTTGAAATCAAGCTCAAGGCCCTCAGAGAAGTCAAGAACCAGATCATCGGTAATCGCACCAAGAAGCTTTCCTTCCTCAAGCTCGGTGCCGTACCGGTCGTCTCCTCCATCCTCGCTGCTGCCATTGACGAAGCTGACTCTCAATTAGCTGATGGTGTCAACGTCACAGACAAAAACAGTAACTATATTAATAACATTATTGTCCAGTCGGCGGCGGCTATAGGAAGTTTCGCATGCGGCTTCGATGCCGGTGTCCGAGCCGTTCTCGATGCTGGTACTCTTCCTTACCTAACTCGGCTCCTCTCCAGCTCCGATGAGAAGGTAATTGAAGCTTATTTGGTCGACTTTTTATTATCCAATTTCTGCTTAAAATGAGAAGGGAAAAAGAAACTCAAAACCGGAACTTAGTTGGACGGAATGTGTAACTGTGATTAGGATAATTTGGTTGATTTTAGTTCTTAAAAACTTATTGTTTGATTGAGAGATACCAAGGGAGAGGGAATTATTGTGTTAATGTAACTGTTTATGTTCTTAATTTTTGTTTAAATAGAAGTTTCGTTCTTGCGCTTAATGCTGTTGCTTGGGTTCAATGCGTTGTAGCTAGGACAATAATGTTCTGTTTTTGTCAAAGTTTTTCTCGACAAAATACAAAAATGATTGCTACTTTTAGTATAGTTCATCGTGTCTAGAACAATTCCTGCACATTCAATTGTGAATTTTATTGTAACCTTCTCCTGGCAAAATGGATGACTTTGTCTGATCTTCAGGTGGTGGATGCTGGCGCTCGTTCCCTCCGAATGATTTACCAGTCAAAACTAACACCGAAGTATGAATTCCTTCATGATAAAAAGATGGAATTCCTCCTTTCATTGTTGAACAGTGAGAGTGAAAATGTTAATGGTCTTGGTGCGAGTATAATCACACATTCTTGTGAGACAAGTTCAGAGCAGAAGGCATTATATGATGCTGGTGCTCTAAAGAAGCTTCTTGGCCTCCTTAAAGGTTCTATGAGTCAGAGAGATGCTAGTTTGGAGTCTCTTGCTGCAGTATTTAGGAACAATCCTGAAATCATATCAATTTTTTTGGGACCAGAAAGTGGGAGAGCTTTGAGTTCTATAGTTGGATTGACAAAGGATAGGTTTTCCAAGACAAGATTACTTGCCTGCATGTGCCTGATTGTCATAAGGAATTCTTCTCCTTGCTATCTGAAAGATATAGGAACCAAAACAAAATTGGTATATCTCTTACTTGAGCTTCTTGATGATCCTGGTCAAGTTGGAGATGAGGCTCCCTTTGTTTTTAAAAGTTTAATAATGGATAAGGAGGATCTACAGAAATTAGCTTTTGAGGCAAACGCTCTTGATAAATTTTGGGACCACTTACAAAACAGGCAATTACATTCTAAGCGCCTGCAAGGCATATTGCTGGCATTGGCTGATTTATGCTCAAGGTTGGAGTGCTGCAGATCTAGATTCCTGTCATTGGAGGTGTGCCATTTCATAGAATTTATTGATTTGCACACTTCATTTTTGTTCGCCTACTTATAGATCTGTTAGTTTCATGCCATTAGTTATAATGCAATATCTCATTTCTTAAATTTTTGTGTGTAAAAATGTGTTTAAAAGCTAGAAGTTATTTGATTGACAATGAATTAACATAGAAAACATGAATTTGGAGCAAGTGTAACAGACAAGTTTGTTTAGTACGGTCAATAGGTGAACTGTTATATATCCTAGTTGAGTTGAAGTGTGACCTGTAGGCAACTTCGTATTTTACTTTAGCTAATACTAATCATTTTCTTCCTTTTCTGTTTGTTTATTTACATTTATTTTATGCCTTTAAATGGAAAGTTGTGAATGACAATTATTATTGTGCTAAAAACTCCTTATTAATTGGATGGTCATTGATGATGTTGGCATTTTATGGTCATACGCTTCGGCTTGATGCTCTTGAGCATATGAAAGGAGTAAATTATCAAAATTAGATATAGATAAGCATTACACTTAATGATGCTTATGCATAACTGATAATATTAACAACTTGCAATTTCTAATATAATCTTGTGAATTATAGGTTTTGAACTCTGTGACTGATGCATTAACCCATGATAGTGCTGATGTACGAGCTGCAGCTTGTATTTGCATCAAAAGTGTCGCTCGGTCGATCAAGGTTTGCATTATAACCACTAGGTTCATAGGTTTCTGAATTTCAGATGCCAATATATTCATATTCTTCACTAATAAAATGTTCTTCAGAATTTGTGTGCAGGCTTTTTTATGAATGAAAGGCTTGTTATTCGCTTGGTCCAGCTTTTAAATGACCCTTTGGTGTCTGTCCAGGTATGTATTTACTTACCTTGTCAGCTCATGGATGATGTGAATTCTTGAATTGAGTTCCATACCTAAAATGCCTATGTAGAAGCATTAGTTTTTAAATTAAGGCCCCTTCAACAACCTATTATCATATGCATGTATTTAGCTTTCTTAAAATATTAATTATGAAAACAATATTTTATGGAGATTATAGTTAATGTGAATTGTACTTTTTTTTTCTTCTGGGTGTGGATGGGGGGAACAGATAATCTATTCCCCGTGTTCCAAATGATATCTGCTCATGGACTACTAATGTAGTTGGAAGTATAAAATTACATGGGTGATCCCCTTCAACATACTGTTTTTCAGGTTGCTGCTCTTGGTGCTATTAGCAATATAGTAGTTGATTTTACAACCAGAAAATCAACTTTTGTACAATGTGGAGGTGTAAAACATCTCATCCAGTTATCAAAATCAATGGATTCAACTGTCAGGTCAAATGCATTGTGGGCTTTGAAGAACATGTTGTTTCTGGCAGATGATAGATGTAAAGAAGGGATTTTTATGGAGCTCAGTGCTTCTTTGTTAGCAAGCCTTATACGTGGTATGCAGTTGTTTCTATAGCTATTAGTCATATCAGGTGCTATTTACTTTTTTTTTTTTTTAAGGTAAACCAGTGTTCACTCACATTGTCATGCAGACGATGACCCTTTTGTTCAAGAACAAGCTCTGGCTCTTGTTCGGAATCTTATTGATGGATGCATAAGCTCTATGGAGTTTGTCTTTGCTGAAAATGGTATTATATTAGATGCTGTTGGAAAGCAATTAGAGAGTGCTTCAAAAGCTGAAATCGGCATACAGGTAGAAATCTTTTGAGCTGAGATCATTTGAAAAATTGAAACTGGAACTAGTAACGGTTCTGTGGATAATTAGTGTCGAATGATAGTGATGTTGATTTCTGTTAGTGAAATGCATGACATGTGTCATTTCCATTGTTAATAGTGATATTTATTATATCTTACATGGTAATTGCTTCGCTACATAGGGAGTCCATGTTGTAAGTCATGAATCCTTTGACATTTTAGTCAATGCCTTCTGTTTAAGTAGGGGGTCATATGGCATTGTTTGTTTGTGCTGTGTGAGATATACTTGGTTTCCATACTTAGTTTTGTTGGTAAAATATATTCATTGCTTTACAAGGCTGTGGAACTATGGAAGTGAGTAGGACGTTTGCAGCAACATTCCCCTTTCTAATTTAAGTATTATTAAATCAATTTAATTTATGCCAGGGGAGGGTTGGAGTGCTCCAGGACCCAATATATAAGTCATGGTATCACAAATGTGTGCCATATTTTCTTATATATGACTGATGATCTCTCTGACTGTTGAATAATCATTAAAAAAATAATAATAAATAAAATAAAGAAAAGCTGAATGGTATAGACCACGCTTCGAGAATATTGTCACAGCTCCTATTTAAGGGACATGTAGAATTTGCACTTCATACTTTGAAAATTTAGCTTTGGTTTTATAATTAATAGTTGTGTACTCCAAGCAATTGCCATATTGTGTTTAATGCTACCAATGATATATGCAAGGAAGTGAACTTGCATTCTTTGTGAAGTTATATGTAAAGAAACTGTTTGTCAAGTCAGTGCCAAAATAAAATGGCAAAAAACTTTTATATCCTTTCTGATATTGGCCAGATTGTTTGGCACATGATGCTCAACTATTACATTTGTTACTTGATCATTGAGGAGCATCATTAGTACACATTTATTGCTTCTGGCAACTTACCAAGATTGTTCTCTTATAGGGAATGTACGTGCTTGGGAACATTGCCAGTGGAAATGAGTTTCACAAGGAAGCAGTTATGCACCAACTTGTTCCACAAGTAGACGATGAAACAAAATCTTTTATAATAAAGTTCTTACAGAGTGATGACAGCAGATTGCGTACAGCTGCTGTCTGGGCAGTAGTAAATCTCACATTTCCTTCGTGTCCTGGGGCATTTAATCGGCTTGTTAAGCTACGGAATGCTGGTATAGTACCTCAAATAAGGAACATGGTCAATGATCCCTGCCTGGATGTAAAGGTCTGGCTTTTATGTCTTGATGTGCTTTTCTCTTTTACTAACCTCAAATGCTTACTAAAACATATCCTAATGCTTCATTTCATGCAGCTTCGTGTTAGAACAGTACTCAGTCAGGCTATGACTTTTGGTGATGGCATCGCCTGATCATTTTGATTCATTCCTTTAACCTAGTGCTATAATGAGAGAGAATGGAGTTTAGTTTTGGCCCCCGTATTTAGCAAGAAATGTCCAGCATTTTTTTTCCAGAGACTTCAAACTTTTGATGCTTCAACCAAGGTTAGTAATTATTTAATCTACAGCACTGTTTTTGACCTTATTTTATAGCACAGTCAAAATGAGTTGAGAGTTGCCCCTTTTTCTCATTGGCAAAAGAAAATTCTCCCTGTTTTGAAGAGTACATGTTAAATATTTAGGTTATGTTTGATGGGCCTTAGTGGAATGTAATATAATGCAATCAAAACTCAAAAGCATCTATAATGTAGTGTTTAAAATAGAAATGTCTATGGTTATGGTGCATTATCTTCCATTTCGGCTCATCAAATGTATCCTTATTACTTCTGTTTATAATTAATTTACAGCCATCTTCATTTTTATGTACTTCTTGGAAGCACATCAAGCAGATGGAGTTACATTTGAAATACCAGCAAATGCTTTGAACTTCCTATTAAATTTGTTGTTGTATTGTATTCAAATGCCAACTATAGTATTAGGTGATGCTATTAGCAAAATATATATCATTTGGGTTCATATGCTTATCTTTGTTTTCCCCACTGGAATTCTATCAGAGACAAATATTGTCAGATTGATCTTCTGCTTTCCAATTTTCTTCTGCAGGTGCAACACATTGCTTCATTTTTTTGCAGTTGGGGCAGCACAGAAACTTTCTTGTTTTGTGGGCAACATTGAACAGGTTACCCTCAAAACTTCATTGCATTATACATACATTTTGTGTTGATTTTTGTACGTAACCAATGAATTGTTGCTGTAATACACGGTACAGACTTACATATTGAACCATGTAACACGCATAGTGCCTGTGAAAATTTGTACCATCTATCTGATTGTTAAAAATCATTGATAATTCATCTATGTAGTCTTTAATTCTATTTCTTGCTTTTAGAGGCTAGCTATGAACATCCCATTGCCTGTCATCTTGTGATGAGAACAATTTTTCTGTGGCAAGGCAAAATACCATTGATGCAAAATTTATTCTCAGTGGGTGTGTGGGGGGCGGGGGTCCTCAAGAGAGGCGTATAGGATGAAGAAATCAACGCTATCTCTTTATCAAAGATCCAACATGGATAACCCCAGAAAAAAAAGAAAGATATCATTATTTGCTCAAGCGTATATGGATAATGTATTCTAGATGGTATTGTCTCAGCTGTTTTTAAGGCCTTTCTTTTTTCTTTTTTATTTTTCTGCTCTCCTTTTTCTGATGGTTGGTGGATATATTACCGTTTTTGCATTATTCATAGTTTGTGCTAGAATACTCAATATTGTAAAGGATTAGATGCCAGCCTGATCCTAGGCAGTAACCAAAGTATGGTTCACAATCCAATTCATGGAAATTTGTAAAAGCAACAACTCGTATTTATTTTTGCGAATTCAGAGAGATTTTATGAGCGACTTGCACATATTGTAATAGCTCGAGTTTAATCAAGCTCGGGGCTGCATATCAGATTGGAGCTACATTGTCACTTTTACAGAACAAATTGCATGGGTCGAGTAAGACAAAGGCTTGTTGAATCCCGTATATATATGCCTGATCCATTTTTGCTCTGTTAACATTTATCTATGATGGATTACATTTATGTATACACCTTTGGATACAATATATTTAACATTTGTTATTATCAGGTGAAGAATAGCAAAAACTGAGTTTTTGGAATCAAACGAGTTGGTGTTAAACCAAGAATATATATATAATGTATATGTATAATCTACACTACAAACAACATTAACATTATAAACTAGAAAGAAAGAAAATGAAAGAGAAAGCATCTTCAACCAATCTTCTCCGTGTTTGAGTCATCTGATGGCCATATAATAGTCTCTTTGAGCCTTTCACGCATCAACTCCAGGTTCTCATCAGAGATCTCTTGATATATTTCGGCATGATTGCATTTCTGTATAACATTAACAGGAAGGGATTATTATTTCTATGAGCATCTTAACATGATTCGCATGCTAGGGCAAATGAAGCATTTAATTACCTTAACCCATTTCCCATACAAGTGGAGACGTGTGACCATCACTCTTTCAGCAAGGTCCTGCTTCTCCTGTCCACAGTAGGGAAGACAATTTCCATTTATCAGATAAATATTCCTTTTATTTTTCACATACCAAAAAAAAAAAAAAAAAAAAAAAAAAAAAACAGTAGGAAGAACAATTTCCATTTATCAGAGTAAATATTCCTTTTATTTTCACTATACCAAAAAAAAAAAAAAAAAAAAAAAAAAAAAAACATATTTTCAAAAAAAAAAAAAAAAAAAAAAAAAAAAAACATATTTTCTATGTAACCATCTCCACTATTATTTGTATTCATTCCAATTAGAACAGAGTTTCTAAGAACTACCTTCACAAGGGAGCGGATGAAACGTTTGCCATCTGCTGGCTTATTTGATGCAACAAAACTGTCAAAAGTGTAAAGAAGTCGTCACATATTTAGGAATGTGCTTAAAGTAAGAGCATTTGTCCATTTTTGGCATCAAATATTGGTCTAAACTTACTAATTAGGTCACTTAACAAGAATATTTCCAATAATTACTCAAAATATATGGTAAAATAAGTAGAAAATCGTGGCCGAGGTGAGGATGACACTTACTCATACAACCACCTATATTGCGTGGGATTCATCTCATAGAGCTGGTTAAGAACCGTTCTAGTAGCCTTGTATGTGAAATAGTTGAGTATTTGCTGCATACATGAACACATTTTATCAACATTAAGATATACTCACAATCTTTTAACACGAAAGATCAAATTTTTTAATATACTGTGAGACCATCCTAATTAAGCTTGATTTAATGAATGACAAAACACAAGAATCTTTAAATGGTAAAAAAAAAAAAAAATTCCACTTGAATCTGCCGGTTGATCTGCAGAAAATCTGATATAGAAAGAAATAATTGATTATAGCGAATAAATAAATAAAATTCATCACACCATTTTCACATCCTCAAAACTATCTTCATATTGCCCTCCTAATTCATTAACCACAAGTCTCCAATCCTTTCTCTGCTTCCTTCTACTCTTATTAACAATACCCGAAATCGCTTTTGTTGAGAGTCTCCAATCATACCATGAATCCACAAAAGAACTGCCTAATTCCAATGACCCTGGCCTTTTTAGTTGCTTTCTTTTCATTGAATTCCTCTGCAAAACCAACTCTCCACTGTGCTTGAGATTCATAGTGCTTGTAGGCAGTGCATCCAAACACAAACACGGACTAGTGTGTGAATCCACAACAGATGAGCCCACCACAGATAAAGCTCCCACCATTTTTTTTCTTTTCCAGAAGCTTAAAACAGCCCCAAATCAGGAATATTTGGTGTTTGGGGCTGTAATTCAAGAAAATAACAGATACCCAATAAAGAGTATCCGAAGAGCGCAAAAGGGTGTCTTCAAAAAATGGGAATTCTGTTATTGTAGGCAAAGATTCATGAACTGAGAGAGAGAGAATTGGGTGCTTAAGAAAAGAGACGCTTTGGAGCAAGAAAATTGTAAAAACAGAGTTTTTGAAGGTGTGAGGAGTCTTAACCAGACAAATATTTGAGGTCGAAATCTCTCCAAGCGAAAAGGTAAGACTCAAAATCAAAATTTTGTAGCTTGCTTTTGTTGATTTTCTTTCCAGAGTCTAAGCCAAGTACCTGGACGGCATCTCCAATTTGGTGGCTACTGGCCCAGGCCACGTGGTAGAATCTTATGAATCTAATTTGTGTGTCTGAACGTGTGAAATTCCTTGCACAAAACTCCTGCCTACACATTGCACGTCGTTTGAACGGAACTTTGATTGAAACTTGAAACTCCACGCGCAGTATCGACTATGTAGAAGCTACTTGCAGCAACATTATAGAATATAGCTAGTTTCTTTTTTTTGGAATCAATAGAATATAGCTACTTTCCTTTCAAAAAATAGAATATAGCTACTTGAAAACAATGTTATCGAAGATTTTCTAAGACTAGTTTAATATTATTATTACCAGTAATATGCATTAAATAAAATTCTAAAATTCATTTTTGAATTAATAAAAAACAAATTATTATAGTGCAAATTTATGGTCATTTAGAATTTTTTTGTTTGAAATTAATTTTAAGTCGGTGAAACTATATTGCAAAAGAATATAATATATTAATTATTTGTAGTTTTTAAAGTTTGTTCAGTAAAATTAATTATTTTGCTAATTGTTAACTGTTTTAACAGCATTTTATTATTAACTTTTCATAAAATTTAAAAATTAAAATATTATATGAATTAACTTTTTATAATAAATTATTTTAATGTAATTCAAACATTGGGTTACAATATATAAATTAACTTTTCATAAGAAGTTATCTTAACGTAATTCAAACATTGGGTTACAAAAAATTAGCACCGTTGGAAATTTTGACAGACGCTCTTCCAAACGCGTGATTGTGGAATTCTTGTTCACAGGCGAATCGCGTGGGCAAACAGAAGATTCTTCTTGGAAGGAATAAAGTCACACAATTACATTTTCAAGACGGCAACAGCCGCAATTAGCTCACCACCCAGAACTCGCCGACCGTTAACCGGTGGACTACATTTTAGGCCATTTCTAGCTTTTCTAAATTTCTTAAATTAAAATTATAAATACACCCATCTTTACACTATTACTTGCCAAATAATTTAAAGTCTAAAATTGTAATTATCGGTAAGATTTTTTTGAATATTATTCTTGATCTAAATATAAATTAATTTTATACACATAAAAGGATGAAAAAAGTAATCTTTATTTTCCATAATGAGGTCTCTCAAAATTTTTAATAGATATTCTTTGAAATTAAATGTAAAATTTATTGGGTTGGATAAAACGTTGATGAATATATAATAAACTTTCAAGGTCAAAATTGTTAAAGTGTTATTGAAATTCAATTAAAATTGACAAAAAATCTTTCAAGTACGTTCAAGTTTGAAGCTTTTAAGATCAAATTTTGGCAATTTTTTGGAACAAAAACATTATAAAATTAGGGGAAAATTGGAAAAATATTGAAAATTACAAGAATTATAAAAATGATGCAAGTATAAAAATAATAATAATCCAATGGCTTAAAAATTAAAATTTAAGAGACAAACTCATTGGATAACCTAATTGGCGGCCCATCTTAAATCCTCAATAATGAATAGCAAAGTTTATCATTTGAACCCCGCCCAATAATAAACGGACAAAGCCCACGATGAGTAATCAGCCCAAAAACGAAACGACATCACTTGCCTTTTTTTTTATACTTTTTATTTTGGGTAATAACTTTCTCGTGTCAGCATTGTCGTGTAGCCACAAGGCCCAAACTAAACGCAGAAAGAGCTTCAAGAATGAAGTTTGAGGTGTAAGGGCAAATACGACGGGAAGAGAACAGAGAAATCAACAAATCAAATAAGCAGGGAAAGGTTCGCTGAAGAGAAATTAGACGAAGAAAACAAAATTATTCCATATTCAATAATGTTTTATAGAGGGTAAAAGTTGGCAATTTCTCTATCTCGCTTTGATCCAATCTATTATTTTGTTAGTGCCTTTCTTCTATATCATTTGTCAAATAAGTCTTGCAGTTATTTTTTTTGTGAATTTTTCTATTGTCTTTGATTCTTAGGGTTTTATTCCTTGTTAAAAGCTAGCTGCTTTTAATTTTTTGTTTGAACACCTTGTCTCCATCAATTACGAATACATGTTTTGGATTTTTATTTCGCTGCGCTGCTTTTTTCTTTCCTTTGATTATTTTACCTGGGTTTACTTTGCTTTTGCTTAGAATTGATGTGTAGTTCCCAGAAAATTTGTCGTTTTGGGACAATATTTGGATTTTTATTTTATTTTATTTTTTCTTGTGTATTGTAGTAATTTAGTCTCTGGCAATACTTGTGAATTAAAACTTTCTTTGGAACCCCTATGAACCAGCAATACCATATATGGCCCTCATATTATACTCAGCAGAGATTGGGTGCTATTATAATAACCCATGGGATTGGAAAATCTCGTCAGCATCAGAATATTCATTTATTTGTTGCTTTGTGGTTTTATGTTTGTTTTCATATTGATTTCTCTGCAAATAGGCCAGTTTGCATATTCACAATCTTTCAATCTTATTAATGTGCATTACAAGGAAAGTGAGGTGAGCCTTGTCTATTTTTGAGTCTTTGACTTGGTTGGTGTTTAGATGTGTACTAATTTTGCTTCTTTAGTTGTCAGCTTTATAGGTTGAAAACCAATCTGTTGCGTTAGAGCAATTTATAGCAAAATGGACAATGCTGCAGTTAGTTTATTTGAGGAATTGGGTTTAAGCTTTAGGCACAAATGGAGACAAAATTAGTTGAGGTTTGGGTCCAGCTTTAAATTCAAAAGCTGCTTCACAGAGCCAATAAAAGGGTTATTAGGGGTAATAATTAATGGATTATTTGGTAGCAAAATGTGGGTCTTTAGAGTTTGTAGTGTTTGTCAAAGAAAGAAAGGTCTGTAATAATAATACTGTTATAGCTAGATTGCTTTAGCTTCTTTAGTTGCGAAAAAAAAATCCACATGAATAATTCGTGTTGGTGGAAATTTTTATCTGAGTCCTTGCAGATCCAGGATAGGAAAATCGTATTGTTCTTAAAGGATAGAATTATCATTTTATTTATGTAGCTGCACGGGGCCTTTTGATGTGGCAGCAGCCCAGAGCTATCTCAAGAATATGTTTTTTGAGGAGTGAATTTAGTTTGTTGTCAAGTTCAGTTGGATGACAATTTTCAGGCATCATATCGGACATGAGCCCCAGTCTGATGAAATTGATATCGTTGGAGCTATGACATACATATCAAATGAAGTAATTATACACAACATAAAAAGAAGGGGAGAAGCTAACTCTTGATAAAATGCTAAATCATTGGACACTGTTTTTTGTTTACGGTGGGAAATGAGCTTTCTAGATTTAGCATATCTGCTGCTAATGGATCTAATGGATTGACTTTACTGATGGCATCAAAACCAAGTCTTCTTTCCTTTTTTTTGAAAAAAAAAAAATAATCAAAGTTTGTCTCTTTAAAAGGTTAAACAAACATGTGACTGGTTTGGATACTCAAACTGGCTCTTTTTGGAAGATTGAGATTCTTTATACATTTTTGTCTTTTCTTGCAAAATCATAAATCATTGTGTTAATTTGAGGCTTTCAGGTGTCACTGTTGAGTACTGGATTGTGAGATTCCTTTTCATGATTGACAAAAGAATGTTATATACTTGTGTGTATGCATTAATATGATTGAATCTTCGTTTTTGCATAATTATGTGCATAAAGCTTTGAGGAGCTACTGATTTTGCAATATTGCTTGAAATGATTTGGTTATTAAAGTAGATATCCCGATGGTGGTGATGGGCGTGAAATGGGTGCAAAACGTCAGCGTTTGGTTGATCAGGGCCCTTCATTCTATGGGACTTCTCCTGGTTCGAGTTTTATGTATAATCCACCGCCTTATGGATATGTTGCCCAACCTCCACCTTTCCCTGTTGTTCGACTTCGTGGTCTTCCCTTTGATTGCACAGAAACTGATGTTGCGGAGTTCTTCCGTGGCCTTGACATAGTTGATGTTCTTTTTGTCCACAAGGGTGGAAAGTTCACTGGGGAAGCTTTTTGTGTTTTGGGATATCCACTTCAAGTTGATTTTGCTCTTCAAAAAAATAGACAGAACATGGGCAGACGATATGTTGAGGTTTTCAGAAGTAAGAGGCAGGATTATTACAAGGCAATCGCAAATGAGGTTTCTGAAGCTCGTGGTGTTTCACCAAGGCGAAATGCTCCAAGGGCTAAATCTTATGATGAGGGAAAGGACTCAGCCGAACATACAGGCGTGTTACGCTTGAGAGGACTGCCATTTTCTGCTGGCAAGGATGATATAATGGAGTTCTTTAAAGATTTTGTTTTGTCAGAGGAGTCAATTCATATTACAATGAATTCAGAGGGGAGACCGACTGGGGAAGCATTTGTGGAATTTGCAAGTGCAGAAGATTCAAAAGCAGCAATGTCCAAAGATAGGATGACTCTCGGAAGCCGTTATATAGAGTTGTTTCCCTCATCGATTGAGGAGTTGGAAGAAGCAGTTACGCGAGGTCGGTGATGTTTGCTTTCTGCTATATGTATTACTGGTGATGTCGAACCTTTCCTGACTGTTTAAAATTTTGCTTCGTTACTTTTTCTCAGTTAGATTGGTTTGCTGTTATTTTATCTGTATGTTTTTCCCCTCTAGAATTCCAAATAAGATGCTATCCTATTTAGTCAGTTTGTATTTCTATTTATCTGGATTTGTCTGGTAGTAAACCGTAGCTTTAACAAAACTGGCACCATCAGCTTCTTTGTGACATTGCCTGAAATCTTAGCACTAGTTAGCAAATGCTTGAAGAAGGATAGTATTGTTATATTCATTGAGCATTTCATTTACAATATTTAAGCTAGGAAAAGGGTTTACCACCCATTGTTCTGAGAGTTTCACCATTTCAGAAATTCGTGTTTAACAAGCCGCTTCTCAACCATTAGACCTGGAAACTAAAGCAAAACCAGAAAAATGAACCTATAAATACATTAGTTGCAAGAACAGAGACAAAATAAGACTTTTCTTCTCTACTGTGGGATCGTCATAGGAAGGAGAACAAAAAAAAGAAGGTCCGGAATCTGCACTCAGAGATAAACGCAAGGCTTTGTTGAGAAGTGCAGGGGAATAATTTTACTGCTTTTGAGATGATAAAGATAAAAATAGTCCCTTTCTTGATGCTATCCAAATTATAACTTTGATAGGCTATAAAGCTCACTTGTTGTCAACCTTGAATGGTTTCAGAATTAGAAGTGTTCAACTAAGTAAAAGAAGATGCCTTGCAGTGATAAGAATGGCAGAAATGTTAAAAGCTGCTGCCCTGACCGCATCACTATAAGGGTAAAAAATGGAAAGGAAAGGAAAAGGAATAGCACTTGGTGTGTATTTTTAATATTTGTTTATTGATAATTAATACGAGTTTAAGAAAATAATTGTATCAGAACTTCAATTCAATCGTTAACTTGAATGTGATAAGATAGACACCATTAGATTAGTTTAATGATAATGATAATTGTGGCATTTAAATTAATATCCAAATGCATTTGAATTTAAAATGGTAGTTAAGTGGTGATTATCTTTAACTAATTTAGGTAATATTTTTGAATATATAGAATTTAATTCAAATATCAATGCCATTAATCAAGAATTAGAAAGGGACTAAATCATTAATTAATTCTTAAAAAAAATGGAAGATAAAAATTACAAACTTCGATCATGTGATTTAAAGATAAGTCCAAACAATTTGTTTGTATTATATGAAATGAAAATTTGAAATTATGGATAAAAGAGAGGCACGTGCACGAGTGGGTTAAACCCTCTTTTAGGATCCCCTGAAGATGTTTAACAAAAACGAGGCCATGAATGAATATAAAAGTGTCTGACCAAATGAACCTAACTCAGTTAGGTATATTTTATACATACAGACACCTTTCTTTCTCTCTTTCTGTTTGTCCTTATCTCCTCTGTAGCTGTAAGTTGGTAACTGGTAAGAGAGAGAGGGAGAGGCAGAGGAAGAGTACGTGCATTTTTCATATTAATGTCGTTCAGAATCTTAACTATCAACTAAGAACAGTGCACGGTGAACTGTTCATGGCTTTGCATTACAGGAACCCGACACTGCCCATGTTTTTGCCATTTCCTAATATTTGTGATCCTAGGATTCCCACAACTTATTTCAAATCTCTCTTTCCCTCCTTTTCCTTCTTTTGTTTTTTCATTACTTGTTATAATTAATTTTTTAACCCATAGGAAAAGGACAAAAATATATGACTTATACATTTTTCATATTTTTGACATTGAAAAAAAAAACCTCAATTCTATATTTCATATGATGTGATTGCTTTTTCTTCTTTGAAGATGATCTAATTACTAAAACAGAGATGAACACAGAGAAAAAGGAAAATTAATCTCTTTTTTTTTTTCAAGATGATAAGAAATTAGAATTTAAGAACAATAAATTAATAAGTGCATTCCAAACGTTTTAGATTCGCTCATATAATATATTATATTCTGTTATATTACGATTCACCAAATGGAATCTATAATTACCTTAACAAGTTAAACACAAACTGTATTTTTTTTCAAATCAAAATTTTTAAAAGGTTTATCTTTAAAAAAAAAAAAAAAGCTTAATTGTAGTACAATACTACAAAAAGCAGGTTACCCTAATAAATTTTTAAAATTTTTAATTATTCCAAATTTGAAACCATTTGTTGCTCGCTATCTATCCCTCTAAAACAGCGGGCAGTGGGGCAGCTAACCTAATTATCTCTCTCTTACCCGCAATTAAATTTCTCACTTCACTCACTCTACCATTTTATAACCCTAACTCCCTCCAAACACTGAAATCTTTGTCGTCCCTCTCTTCTTCGTCTCTGCTCTCTATGTTAGCCCCCACATATATATAATTTATAGATCATTCGTTTCTTCTTCTACACGGTGAGTGTATCTTTTATCTAATGGTTTCGATCCAAACACGATCTTTTTATGATTAGCAGTAGACTCTTTACAATTAATTTGTGTTTCTGTTAGGTTTGGTTTTGCTAGATGATGATCAATGGTATTTTAGAGTTTTTTTTAATGTGTTTTTGTTGAAGAAGAATTGGGTTTTTATCTTTTTGATAAGTTAGTTGCTGTGATTTTGAAAAAGGCTCTGGTCTTCCACTTGGCTTTTTACCACTTTCCAGTCAAATTAGCCTTTAAAGTGCTCTCTTCCATGGTTTATTGTGACTTACCAGTTTTTCACATCCATACTAAGTAAAGTTTTTAGTTTATTCTTACCCGTTTTTAGCATTACTTATTTTTCTACTTTAACTCTTCTCAAACTATTTAGTATTTACTACTCCATTTTCCTTCCTATCCATCCACCTATGGCCCCTTCTGATAGAACAAGATCAAGAACGAGAGCAGGAGCCAAACCAGCAAAAACAAAAACAACCCAATACAAGAAAAGCCGTGTCAAGTCCAAGAACATTCAAGAAGCATCAATAATGGTGGAGAATTTGCCTTCTGATTCTTCCACCACCACCACTACAAGCTCAAATACTTGTTTAAAGATTGATGGGTTAGATTTTGAGGGTAGCGTTGATATCTCTACAAGTTCATGTTCTACACCAAAAGCTCAGAAATTTCGAATACCGGAGATAGTTACATGTCCACCAGCACCCAAGAAGCAAAGAGTTATATCAAATTGCTCATTGCAAAGGAGACCGATCGCTTTCTTTGCCCCTCCAGATTTAGAGCTCTTCTTCTTCTTTGCGCTTCGTGATATCTCAGTCTGAAAAACTGAAATTTGTTCATATCATATGAAGGGAAGATCATTTCAATATAGTCTCAGAGTTGATCCTTAATAATTAATTATAAATGACTTCACTGAGTTATAATAGTTTGTGCTTTTCTTATATATTTCATCCTTTTAAGGTATAGTATGATAGTTGAGCTTTTAGGGTGGGTGAGTATTAATTAGTTGAGTTATTTTCAATTGATTTGTAGGGTACCCTAATCACTAAATTTAGTGGGAGTTGTCCGACTAAATTTAGCCTTATATGCCTACTTTATCATTACTATATATTTTCAATTTTCAATTTTAGATGTATTGCTGACTTTGGGAGTTTGAAGAGAGAGATCAAATTAATGTGTATTGGCTTGATTTAAGGTTTGTGAGTGTGATTTCAGTGTGCAATTATGAGCCTTTCTTTGTTTTAGTCAAACTTGAGAAAGTTAAAGCATGAGACTTACTGTTTATGCACAAAATGCAAACTCTTCTTCTTCTTCTTCTTCTTCTTTTGTTACTCTTGAATTGATATTATAATCATCAAAAGTGCCATTACAAATTTCATTATGAAAATAAATGGTTAATTTAAATCAAAGCAATTGATTTCTTTTTTATTTTCTTCTTCTTGAACTCCCCACTAATTATTAAATGTATAAGAAATTAAATTAATTATATTCAATTAATGGCTATATAGTTGCAACATTAAAAAGGGTCCACCTGCAACCACTAGTTGATCTGCACAGATCTTGGTGGTTCTAAAAAAAGTCTTCTAAAAGAGGTCTGCTCATATTCTACTTTATGAGTCTAGATAGTAAGAAAAAATTATAGGATGATGCATTTTTCTTTTTTCGTCAAGGCTAGTGTTTTTCCAATTGCAAGAAAAATTCTGTTGGGTATTGTGACTTTTTGGATGGAAGAAATGAAAAAGAGAGAGGTGAATTAGAGGTTAATTAAGCATGATTAAAAGGGATTAGTTATATAAAATTAATAGTGTAAGTGATGGGATAATGTTGTCAGATTGTGGGTGTCAGTGTGTCTAACGGGAGGACAGCATCCATAAGGGAATCCAATGAAAACAGACTCGTGCGGGTTTTTGTTATCATTGCTCCTCTGTAGAATCTCAAGAAAATTTCTCATTATTTTTCCTTCACTTTCCTTTCCTTTCCGTTCTGTAACTTATTCCCTGTTCATTATAAATAAATTATACAAGCATTGATTTGGGCACCTGCATTTATTGTCGTTCTGGTTCATGTATACCGAATATTTATATGTGTGAAGCTTCAATTATTTCCTTTAATCATTTTTATTCTTCTGCTGCTATATATATATATATATATATATATATATATATATATATATATATATATATATATATATATATATTGCCATCCCATCAATGGCTTTGCTTTCTTTTTGAAGCTTCTTCATATATACTCTTTAGATATTAATTGAACATTCATATTAATCAAAGTGAAATCATTCCTTTCTCTATCAATTAGATGCATTGTCCTTATAATTGAAGTTTTTTATTGTTGGTTTCCTTTGAAAAAAAAAAATTGTGAAAAATTCATAAAAATAAAATTATCACTAATTGGTTTAATTAACTCGATTAATGACAAACCGTCTATGAATAAATTTCATATGAGTTTATAACATAGTTATTAAGATCTAACCTCGATCATAACATCTTGAGGCTTAATTTTCAAATATTTAAAACATAAGTAATTCTATTGCCATTTTGTCTATATTTACATCTCATCTCTCTCAGCTATGGCACCACCATCGCAAAAAGCTAGCTGTCTTGGGCTGTAGGTAGCTCTTTGCGCCTTTATTAGTTATTTATTATGTTTCTTATAATTTAAATCAAGTATTATGTGGAGATTAATGCAATAATTATATGAATATAAAATGAACCAAAGTTATGCCCGTTAAATTAGATTTTTTTTTTTTCCAACATCTATGTATGGAAATTGTCGGTGTCAAAGTAACCATGGCCAAAATTAACCTTTTGTGCGAAAGTAGGATAAGATGAGTTTTACACTAGTTGAAATGAAGGAGGAAGGTGGGCATGGATAGATTGATGATTTGAAGCGTGTGAGATATAAAAGGACATAAAAGAAATAGTTAGTGGCTAAACTAGGCTTTGAATAAATCTGATATACATGTTGGAGGCTTTGGAGATAAATAAATGCAGAGGGAATATGGGGAAGGACCGGGATTGCATTCATTACAAGTCCCTCTTCTTTTTAAATGATAAAACTGATAAGGGTACCCCTTTCCTTTCCTTTTCTTTCCTTTCTTAGAAGCCTTTCCACCCTACCGTGGTCCCTTCTTTGCTGGGGCATGTCATATCTTCATGTTTCATGATATGCATTACGCCGTTTTTCTTTCTTTCTTTCTCATTTTCATGCCCATAACTTCTTTTCTTTCTTTCTATACATATATGGAATTAATACAATTTATTGATGCACGAAAACTTCCTAACTATATATGCACCCTTTTTATGCATTTCAAGAAACTTTTTCCGTAATAAAATTTATATTTTAAATATGATTTTTTGTGTTTCGCGTCTCTTTATTTCGTTGGATATTCAAGCATAGATACCAAATCAGGTTGAGGAGGAACAAACAGTCGTTTCGATTCAAACCAACCCGAACCAAGATCAAAAAATGCAAAACTGAAAAATTTTGGACAATACCCGAACCAAATTGACTCAAAACTGAACTAGTTCAATTCGACCCAATTTGACGGTTTTTGCATCTGTTGAATTGGACTTAACTCCAACCGATGGAATTTTTCAAGAAACCAACTCAAATGTGAACAATAAGTTCAAGTTTCCAAACCGAATAAAAACTGACCAATTTAAACCTCTCTTGAAAGCTGACCGAACCAAATTGAAATGATCAGTTCGGTTCGATCAGTTGCGTTTTACATACCTCTAATTAGGTAAGGAGGTAGCTTTTTTTTTTGGTATGGGATTGAAATGAATGAATGGAATAGGTTTTGTTAATTAGTAGGTTAAATACCTTTGCCTATTCTCTTATTAGAATCCTCATATACATAATTAATGGTTTGGAAACTCAAATCATTTGATGACCACAATTATTGGGGAAAAGTTTGTTGAGGAGCCTTAAGCCTTCATTCATTTCACTCACAAATTAAATAACTTTTAGGTTAATTTTATAGATTCATTTTTACTAATATAAGCATTTTCTGGTCAAACAGGCATCCTAATCATTAATATCATATTAAAGAGGCAAGTTATCAATTCTAGGATCTGTATTCCATTGACATGTTCTATATTACTAAATTATTACTTCCATACGTGCAACCGTGCTGTAAGAAAAAAAGAAAAGGCACATGGAGAAGACTTTCATATGGTGTTAAGAGATTGAGAGCTTAGATTAAGGACTATAATGAAGGAAAATTATTTTTTTGCCATTAATATGATAATTCTTAGAAATACTTATTTAAATTTTCTTTCAAATGGGTACGTTCTTAATTCAAAAGTTCTTCCAAACTCTTTAAATTATTTTACCAAAAAAAAAACGTGATTTAATTTCTCATTTTGCAACGCGATATTCGATTCATCTCTTACTCGGCATTTCTTGATTCTAACTAATCTATGTACTATTTTTAGAAGGTTCCTGTTTCAGGGCTTCGCTCAATTGATCAATTTCTTTTTTCTAGCGCTATCACCGCCGGCTTTATTAGACCGCTTTTTTATTAGGTAGATTGTTATGACTTAAGATTTAATTATTAGTTTTATTCAATTAAATTGAATTAAAAATATTAACTTTCTTGTTGTTAATATTTTTTTTACTGAGCAGGTTAAAACAACAATAACAAACATGTAGTGTGAAAAGGAAAAAATGCCTGGAATGAGGATATTTATAAGATAAAATTGATTATAATTGGATTGATTGATAATAAGAAATTGCAACTACCCTGGTGGTAGATTTGACATGTCTCTCCTAAAGTATGGAAGAGTACTCTTTTTTCATTTTCCAATGATGAAATGGTATATTTATTCCTTATCAAACTTTTTTTTTTTTTTACCTTCAATGGAGGGTATTAAGCCCTTTAAGAAACAATCCTATCAAACCTTTGATTCCTAAAGTTTAAATCTTTTTACTATTTTAATTACTATTATTCTTTTGTAGATCCTAGGTTGCCTCTTCCTTCTTTCACAAAGAGAGAAAACATTATCTCTTAACTTTTTAGGAAAAGTCCTTTCACTACAGTAATTTTCCTATTCTCTTCTGTTTTGGCACTATTTTACTAAACATCCCATATTTGCTAATATTGACCATTTTATGGACATAATAAAGACACAAAAAAAAAAAATGAAAATTTCAAAATCCCCAAAAGAAATGAAAATTTTTATATTTACTATAAATTTTATGTGCCTCTACGAGTTGAAAGATAAGACCCAAAAGAAAAAAAAATAAGGGTAATCCCTCTTAAAAAAGGAATTAATTTAATTAAATTGGGGATATTAATTAAAGAAAGTATTCCAATTCCAAAGTGGAAATCCTAGGCTTTTCTTGTATTAAAAGGATTCAATTATTCCATTTATGTTGATTTCAGGCCTACAATTACAGAATCTCCTGGCCGGTGGACGGTTCTTTATAATTAAATAAAATAAAATAATACTGCTGCTTCTTGGCCCCTAACTTAATTTTCACTTTTTACTGCAAAGCTGACTTATCGTTTATGTTTAATTGAAAATAAAATCTGCTGAAAATTATTTGAATTGAAATTATTAATTTTTGTTTAATTAATTAAAAGAATAATTTTGGAAAATTTTATCTATTTTGCCACTTAAATTTTAAAAGGCAAATTTAAATTCACCACCAAACTTCCACGTTTTTGCTTCTTCCCTTCCCTATATTATAGTTGAACATTAAATCACCAATATCAATAAGTAGTTCAAATCCTATGATTAATTTAAGAATGCAAAAAGAAACCATGTCGATAGCTTGCCCAAAAGATTACCATAAGGTTATAAAAAACAAAAAAATATATTTTACGTGCTGCAACGTTGGATCTAGCATATTATATAACTTTAAAAAAGAATATTTAAAAGATATAATTTTTTTTAATGTGGACATGACCTTGATTAGGCCTAATACCTTACCTTTTTCCTCCCCTTTGTTAAGCATAATTGAAAATCACTTTTTTTTTTTTTCGAAAATCATTTGGACCGCGTAATCCGTTTAGGCTTAAGTCATAGTTAAGACTCTCATTCCTCACTGCAGAGCTCTTCTAATCGAGCCACAAACCCGTAGTAGGTCATATGAAAATCACTTTAGTAGATAATATGTTAAAGTTTATACAATGAGTCATGCTAAAGAAAAATTAATATTTATTAGTACTTCCCTTTTATTTTCTAAAATATAATTTGCTTTCGAAAAGTATTTTTTCAGAGTTTTTTTGATATTTTGGGGTTCAAAAAGAAATTAATTAA